TCCTTCCTGAGCTAAGAGAAAAATGTGTGAGCTGGAGGCTAAAAAACTGTGAGCTAGCTCACACTAACTCAGCTTAGAGGGAACAGTGCTCCTGGCTACAAGGGACCATGTTAGCCAATGGACAGGAGGGGCAGCCGCTTCAGGCCCTATGCTTAGGGGGCCCTGAAGAAAAGGAGGGAGGAAAAGAAGAAGAGCAGGATCCTGTTGCCACCCGTGCCTGCCCCTTCAGGTATCAGACAGCTGGCTTCCAGTGCTAGCAGTAGCTCCTGCCTACCTCACAGAGGGCACAAGCTACCATTTGTTGGCTCTGGTGGGGGGCAGGCACCAGGACGGGGCAGTGAATCTGGAGTCCCAGTCTAGGTTTTTGCCCATGCCCCCAGAATCACCCAGACCACCTCTGCCAAGCTACAGAGGTCAATTTCCCTAGAGGGAACAGCAGCTTGGGAGGGTAAACTCCATGGCATCGCATCCCCACTGAGCTCCCTGCCCTCCCCAAACTCTGCCGCCGCCACCCCAGGCACACACACACCCCAAATCTCCAGGGATTTCCCAAACCAAACCTGGCAACTGTACCCCACCTCCCATCAGCAAAATTTGGTGCTCATTCTTGGCACGGAATCCATTCTGAGGAATTTCACCTGATTTGTTGGAGTGAGCAACTCAGCATGTCTGGAAACTGGAGGTGTATAGGTGTTACCTCCTTGAATGGGATGCCTCTCTTTGTCTTGGCCTGGGGGCTGCCCTCTGACCTCTCCTCTATCTCGCTTTGTCCTCTCACTCACTCCTCACATGGCCTTCCGTCGAGGCACATGACTCTGCAGATCTCTCCTGTACATACAGTGCCTTCATATTCCAACACACATGATGCCGGACGAGCTGGCCATTTGTCACAGGGAAAGTACTCTTTGGATTAGGCTTCTCTCTCTTCTTTTGACTGCAACCTGAATGTGAACTGGATCTACTTGAACAAAGTTTGAGTCCAGGGGCACCTTTAAGACCAACAAAGCTTTACTCAAAGTATGTGCTTTTGTGTGCGTGCACACTTCCTCAGATACACTGAAATGGAAGTTAACTGGTCCAATAAAGTTTGGGACCACTTTATTATACAATCAGAAATCTACCCCAAATTATCCAACTTCATGGAAAAATGGTTTCCGTTTCTGGACTATGTCATAACGAATGACTGCCAGCCACACAACCCAATATATCTAAGCATGCTTCACGTCTCACATGTACCCTGTGATCCTGTCTTCTCTCCTTCTACCGCCCTCAAATTACACAATGGGTGCGTTCAGACGGGGGATTTACAAGGGTTAGGGTGCCGGTTCCAACCGGTGTACTTACGGGCATTCACACAGCGAACATCTGCCTCCCGTCCCTAACCATTGTAAATCCCTTTAAACCGTTGCACTCTGCCACTAGGTCCCAAGTGGTGGTAAACTGAGTGCAACGGTTGAAAACGGTGCACCCCGGCGTCTGATCGCTCTCCAATCGTTGTACAGCCACTTCCGTCGGAAGCCTGAGGCTTCTGGCTTTCCCCCGCCATTTTTTAAAAAAATAAGCAATATGCGCTCGGGCGAAGCTTCGCCCCGAGCGTTTGTTAAGAAAAAAAAAATGCCCTTACTTTAACTTCCCGGGGCAGTCCGGGACTACAGGGAGGCCAGGTTGGGCTTTAAACTTTAAAGGTAAGTCCTTACCTTTAAAGTTTAAATGTAATGGGGGGGTTGAGCATGCGCAAAAATCGCCATTCTCTGAATAGCTGCCTATGCGCATGCTCAAACTGTCCTTTAAAAAAAACAAACACCGACGCCCGCAGCGTGTGAGCGGGCGTCCACCGGAGGGATCCGCAAACTGGAGGGTAAGTGTGATCGCGTTTCTGCCGGCATAAACGCCCCGTCTGAACGCACCCAATGTGTCGTCGTGAATCCACTTGTTAATGTTAAGGACCTACGCATCATGTTCACTAACACAGTACACCCAGCTATCATTTTTATCCCGGTTTACCTGTTACTAGGTTCAGTTTGCTCTCTGTACCTTGTCTACACATGCTTATATATTTACAACAATTCTTTAATTTTCATGTATTATCTGTAATGAACGTTTTTGGTGAATTTACGCGCACTACTGTTTACAATTGTACTGCCTGAAAAACCAATAAAAAGTTAATTAAAAAAAAAGAAATGGAAGTTAACAGTTCATATATATAGGCAGATGCATCGTGGACTGTTAACCTCCTTATCCGATGGCAGCGTTTGACACGGTCGACCACGATCTTTTGACCCACCGCCTTGCCAGCGCAGGGATTCGGGGGTCTGCCTTGCAATGGCTGTCCTCCTTTCTCCATGGTCGGGGACAGAGGGTGGTGCTGGAGGAGAGGATTTCTCTGGGGTTCCCCTTGGACTGTGGCATCCCTCAGGGGGCGATCCTCTCCCCAATGCTTTTTAACATCTATATGCGCCCCCCTCGCCCAGCTAATCCGGGGGGGGGGATTGGGCTAGGGTGTCACCAAAAAGCAGATGACACCCAGCTCTACCTGTTAATGGATGGCCGGCCGGATACAGCCCCAGATGTTTTGGACAGGGCCTTGAGGGCTGTGGCTGGTTGGTTGCAGCAGAGCTGGATGAAGCTGAATCCAATGAAGATGGAGGTCCTGTACCTGAGCCATGGGGGATTGGATGTGGAAATACGGCTCCCAGCTCTGGGCGAGGCATTATTAATGCTAGCACCGAGAGTGAGGAGCCTTGGGGTGACACTGGATGCCTCATTATCTATGGAGACTCAGGTCACCGTTGTTGCCGAATCAGCTTTTTTTCCACCTGCAGCAGGTGCGGCAGCTAGTTCCATACCTCTCCACCTGCAACTTGGCTACAGTGATCCATGCACTTCGAAATTGGTCTATTGTAACTCGCTCTACGTGGGCCTACTACCCTTGTATCTGAACTGGAAATTGCAGCTGGTGCAGAATGTGGCAGCGTAGGTGCTGACGGCGACATCT